CTCCAGGCGCCACCACCAAATATTTGCTCAAGAGCTTCGGGACCTGAAGGGCGTCAGGACCTCCAAAGGCCAGGGTATGCCACCCCTTCCATGGCAGTGCCAGCTGCTACAGCAAGGAAGAGCCAGGGAGAAGGATCAGTCTTGGGGAGACATGCAGGGGTAGAGGTGGGGAGACACAGAAAGAAAAAAAAAAAAAAAGAGCCAGGGCAGGCAGGGACGCGGGACTGGAGAAAGGAGGTCCTGCCCAGCCCATCTCTCTGCAGCTCCAGCAGACTCTCCCGAGCACTTGCCCCATTTCCACCAGAAGCAGCTGGGCAGGAGGAAGCTGGTGAGTGAGGGAGCAGCAGGCAGGGAACAAGAGAGGCACCAGCTCCTGAGGAGCTTGTAGGGTGGGGGAATGGGCCATCTCCTCAAACCTGAGGTTGTAGGAGGAAGTCCATGGCGGCAGGGGTGAACCTGGAAGGGGGAGGGCACCAGCCACTGTCCCTTCCCAGTCACGTGCCCCGATGGGCTAAAGTGACCAATATAATGCGGCTGATTGTGCCACCAGAGTTAATCATTAGACTCCTTAGGAAAATCAGAAGAGGGCCATGTGGGGTAGTGGCTACATCAGGGAAGGGGGGGAGGACGGGCCTGGATGGCACGTGGGCCAGGGGCGGGGCCAGTCACTGCCGGCAAGCTCCGACTAGAACTTTGGTGTGTAGAACTTGTGGGAGCCTATACAGTTAATATCCAGTCATAGAGGGTAACAGGGGTTAAGATCTAGGGCCCTCAAACTTCTATCCAACTCCTCAGAAAAATGGAGACCACCTGTCCCTCCCCTTCCCCATTTCAGCATCCTCATGCTCTCAGCAAAGTCTGGGTATGGATGGCAGTGCCTCTCAATCCAACACAGCTTCTTTTTTGTAGTTTCTGCACCCCACCCACACCCCACTGGAGCCTGGGCCAGCTCACCTGCAGGCTGGGCTTACCGTGTGCAAAGAATCTGCGCCCGAGGCGGGGCGCCTGGGGGCGCTGCTCATGGCCAAATCTTAGCCCTTTTCGCTGTCGCTTCGGCTTTCAGGGCAACAAGGTGGAGGCATAACCTGAGTACGGAAAAGGGCTAGTCACCATCGGGAAAGAGTAGACCAATCCCCAGCTCAGCTCAGGAAAGTAGAGGAGCCTCAGCTGTCTGCCACTCTAGTGTCTCCAACTATACCAGATCCTTCTAGACTATGAAGGACCTCATAGTAGCTCTCAGAGGTAGCAAGAACAAAGAGGAGAGTTATGTATAGAAAAGAAGACCAAAGAGTTGGACTGCAGATAAGGGGCTGGTTGGCTGGCACAAAGAGAGAACAGAAGCAGAAAGGGAAGAGGCAACAAAAATGAGGCAGGAAGGAGTCAAGGCCCAGCCCTGGAAAGAAAGCAGAAGAGATGAGGGAGGGAATGGTAAAGAACAGAAGGATCAGGAGTGAAGGGCCAGACGGGAACAGAAACCAGGGGCTCCTGGAGGTGAGCCTGAGACCAGAAAGGGGTGTGGTAGGGAGTGAGACACCCCACAGAGCAAGAGGGGTGTGGAGGCCAGGGTGGCTGGCTTCCCAAACAGAAAAAAGAGGACCAGAAAGAACTTTGGAGAAAACCCAAAAGGGAAAGCAGAGGGCCTGCGAGTAAGAAGGTGGTGCCCCCACAGGGCAGGCCAACCAGCAGCACGACCAGCCTAGGCATAGGACAGACGTAGGCTCCCCAGCGCAGTTCCACTTACTCAGTAGGACGAAGGACAAACGAAGGGACTGGACAGTGGGGCTTATAATGGGGGAGGGGCACGTGACATCGTCAAGGGGGTGGGCACAAGAATCCTGAGGGGCAGTCTCTATTCCTCCCCTCCCTAGCCCTGGGCCAGGAAAATCTGAGTGGCAGGGCAGCCCTCCTGACAGTGACTATAGGGTGTGAGCTCTGTGAGCGGGGTGGAGGTTCCCTAGCCAGTGCAAACTGGGGTACCCATTCCTAGTGAAGGCACCACCCAAGGCTCTCCAAAGGTAGCAAAGCCAAGCTGTTGAAGTGCTGCTGGGAAGTTGGGGTTGTCTGACTTATGGCTACCTTGGCAGTGAGACAAGTTAGTACAGGGTCAAAAAATAGAGGTCTTGGGGGGATCAGCCCAGGGTGGGGAGTCTGGGCTACACATTCCTGGCAAGAACTCCAACTCAGCTGACTGATCTTTCCACCTCCCCCTCAGACGGCCTTCGGCCAGGGCCCGCCAGTGTGGGGGAGAGGTGCCAGGGAGGGGACCTGGTCTAGGAGGGGTATAGGGAATCTGTCCTCAGCACCTGCAGGTGCTCACTCCCACCTCCAGGCTTCGCCCTCAAGTGTGTTCCTCCACCAAGCCCTCCTCCCTTTACCCAGGCGCCCCCACCCCTCCCCCGCGGTCGTAGAATACAAAGCAGCCTCTGTCCAGAGCATCGGTGCCGATAATCCTAGTGGGGGCACATTCCCCGGACCAGCCCCGACGGGCCCGAAGGATTAGCATCTCTCCCCCAGCCCAAGGGATTAGCAGTCCGGACCCCCACTTGGGCATTAACCATTCCCCAAGTGAATTTGTACATTCCACAGCTCTTGGCTGTGGAGCTGGTGGGGGCGGAGAGAGTTTGATAAAGTGGACCCAGATTTGAGGCAGCACTGCCTCCACACCCAGCAAGGAGTTTCCTAAACAGAGAAAGGAGCCCCCTAAAAATCAAACTTCAGACTCTTCTTTCCCATCCTCACCCAGTTGCTCCCCCTTCTGTCTGACCTCTTGTCCTGACCTGACCCGCCAACCCCCTTTCAGGGCTCCGTTTTCCAATTGCGAGATCCGGGGGATTGAGATCCTGGGCAACCCCAAAACTGGCAAGTTTCGGGGGAAAAGGGTAGTCTGGAACCCGCCCTAGAGTGAGAGAGCAAGCTGAAGGCAGCAACTCTCTAAGACTACCCCCTCCTGGTAACAGGGGGCGCGGCACCCTGGCTTTAGGTAACTCTTAAAAGGCGGACCCCGGGATCTCGTTTCGGAAAGGTACTCCCACTCACCTCCCCATCCTTCTCTCTCCCTAAGACCTCGCTCCCTGCGCCCCAGTCTCCGCCCTTTCCTCCACTTCCACTCCCTCGGCGCTCAAGTCTCCAATCCCCCCCCCTCCTTCGCGGCCCTCCCCCTCCCCCACCTATTTGCTTACCCGCTAGCTCTGGATTTCGTGTCCTGGGGGTCTCCGGGTCTCCCCTGATCCTCCGGAACCCTCGCGCGCTCCCGACGACTTCCCGGTGCCCACCCCGGGGCGCGCCCCCGCCGCTCCCAACTTCTCCCAACTCAACTTTCCCCCGCGCCGCGGGCAGGCCAGCCTCCAGCGTGCGCGCCCCCCGCAGAGCGCCGTGCGCGGCCCCGGCGCAGCTAGCTGAGTGGTGGCGAGAGGCCGCTGAGACTCCGCGGCGGGTGCGCGCTCCCAGGCACAGCCCGACACCGCCGGCGCGGCACCCCGGCTGTCCCCCACCACCACCACGCCCGCAAAACCTCCGGGGACGCCCTCTTTTGGTCTAGTAAACTACCTCTGGGAGGAAAGGAGTCAGTTTCACGTTGGGGATCGAGGGAGGGCCAGGAAATGGAGGCTCAGGGACTTGAACAACAGATTCTCTGGCGTTAAGGCTCAGCAGGGCTCCCGCCCAATCAAACCCACTGCCTTCAAGAAAGCCCTGTGTCTGCTTGAGAGAACGGATGGCACACGAATGTGAGGGGTAATGATGCTAGAGTTGGGTGACCGTGACCCTGAACTGATAAAAAACCTAACGACTTGTTGAGGACTCGCTTTCGCTCGAACTGCCTCCGCGCTGAATGGAACCCTGTTCGCAGTCGACATCTCTATTTTAAAGACCTTAGTGTGTCATCCTGTTTTCTCAACTAAACCAATTATTTCAGATAAAGAATGCACTTTATGCGTCTTCAGTCTGCCACGTGGGCGATTCACAGTATTGTTTATGCAAAAGCACTCAGATTTAAGTAAGTTAATAACAAATGGTTAGCGTTACTCTGGTTCCGGCGCTGAGGAATGCTGTTTGGGGCCGTTTTCGCCCGGTTCACAGCCCTCAAGAACGCAATCATGAGACAATTAGAGAGCAGAGCAAGAAAATCTATAATCAGCTACTTTATGGGGTGAGGTAAAGGCTGCTTGCTGCAAGTGTAGCATCTGTCTGTGGTCTTGTCTGTTGAGGGGAGTAACTGACCTGCCAGTCCTCGTGGACCACACCCTGGCTGACTCCAGTGGGCCTGATCTGAAGACTGGGATCTGGGGGACACCCAGGCTCCAGTCAGCTGGCCTCGGCATGTCAAAGTGGAGCCTCTGGAGTCCGGTGGCTTTCGAGACGATAAAATGGGCCCAGCAGAAAGAGGGGTTTCTGGCGTGTGTCCCTCCAACTCAAATCCAGCCTCTAATGGGGCACACCTGTCTCGCTGCCCAGCCCTGTAGTCAGCTGGTCCCTGTGAGGTCATCAGCAGTAAGACATCGCTCAGAGTTATTCCCCAATCAGTCCTGGGGTCACCAGGTGGCCTAGGGAGAGGTGGAAACTAGTGCTGAAGCTGTCAGGAGGTCGCTGGCGACTCAATACACCCAACCAGGTCAGAGCCGGGCCAACAGCGCCCGGGATCTAGGCCGTCAAATGCAAACTTCAAGCGGAATACCCCACCCCCTCCCTCACTGTATTCTGGAACGCGTAGTCCCGGAGCGGCCCTTTTCTGGAAGGCTGTGAGCACAGAAAAGGCATAATAACAAGAGCGGGGCACACTGGGAACCTCCGCGCCTCGGCGGAGACGCCCGAAAAGCGGACACGCGATGCTTTCTGGGAGTTGAAGTTTAAGGTTTGTCTTTGCGGTGGAAACGAGTCCCGGGAGTTGATCGCTGCAAAGAGTCCGAGCGCAGCCTGTTGGACTTTGTAGTCCTCATGCCCTCCGTCACGGGTCTTCTTGGGAAACATGGCCATCTCGGAACTACAAGTCCCAGACGCCTGTGCGTGGGGGAGCGGGTGGGCGGGGCTGGAGCTGTGGGTACCACCTCCTCTGCAACGCCAGGGCCGGGAGTCTTAGAACCCAGGGCCCGCAGGGGTCCCCGCGGCCGCTGCGATGCAGAAATACGAGAAACTGGAGAAGATTGGGGAAGGTAATGGAACCACGAGATGTTCCTGCAAGGTCCTTTTCTGAAGACCCTGCTTGCAGTCCCTGCTCCCTTACCGTCAGCTATCTATACCTGCAGGGTCCGATCTCAGCACTAGTCAAAAGACCTGGCCGCTGAATCCAACACTTGGTGCAGATACCAGCCCTTCTCCCTGTGTTAGCATCTGCGGCAAACTCTTGCTCTTAGCGTTAGCTGTCTCTATGGACCCGTCTTCCTAGCCGCGGCACTTCCTGTATTTCTCAGCCCTAGCCTCAGCATCACATGCAAACCTCACCTGGAACCCCTGCTTCAATTCACTGCAGAACCTCCAACCTTAACATTTTTTTGCAGGCCTTCACTGCTCTCCTAGATTAGTCCTCGCTACTGCTACTTCCCGACCTCAGCTCCCGCCCCCCACCCCCCACCCCCGAGCTTTTGGCAGATTCTCCCTGCAGCTGAAGCCTTGAGCTTTTTTAGACACCTTCGCCTTGGCATCCTCACTCACAAAACTACTCTATGCCCAGCCTTTACCTGAAAACTTGCCCTTACACAGTAAGATGTTGAGAAGAATCCTCTCGCTCACCCCCGACCTTCCCCTAGGCACCTATGGAACTGTGTTCAAGGCCAAAAACCGGGAAACCCACGAGATTGTGGCTCTGAAGCGTGTCAGGCTGGATGATGACGATGAGGTAGGACTGAGGCCTGGGGGGATGGGTATAAGGCCTATTTGGGGTGGGCTATGACTACTGTCCCCTTGCATATTGTAGGGTGTGCCAAGTTCAGCCCTCCGGGAGATCTGTCTACTCAAGGAACTGAAGCACAAAAACATTGTCAGGTAAGGTCTGTTGGAGGAGCTAGGCCCTCATTAGACTGGGCTGGTACTGGGCGGCTAGAGGCCTATTGGGGGATCTGGCTGAGCCTTTCATTCTCCCTAGGCTTCATGATGTCCTGCATAGTGACAAGAAGCTGACGTTGGTTTTTGAGTTCTGTGATCAGGTGAAAGAGGGGCTGGGGGGCTTAGTAATAATGGGAGGGTATAGGAGCCCAGACTAAGGTTGAACTCTGTCCTCTTCTCCACACCCTCATCTCTTTAGGACCTGAAAAAATATTTTGACAGCTGCAATGGTGACCTGGACCCTGAGATTGTGAAGGTGAGGCGGGGGGGTGGCTGGGGGTTCCCAGAGCCCAGGTGTGCCTATAGTATTAGCACTCCTTGGGTAACAGGTTGAAGTCCTGGAGTACCAGAGAAAACCTGATTCTGCCCTCCAAGGCTACTGGTTTTGGTGAACATTCTTTGACTTGCACAGTATCTGACTTCAATGATGTCATTTGTACTCAAGAGATGAGACACATGAGAAATATTTGTTGAAATAGATTCAACAAATACCAGCCTGCAGAGGGGCACATACTTCTAACTTTAACACTTAGAAGTCCGAGGCAGGAGGATCTCAAGCTCAAGACTAGCTTGAGCTACATAGCAGGGCCTTCTCTCAAACATCAAGGCAAAAACAAAACAGAAAGGGATTGGAAAGATGGCTCAGCAGTTAGCATATGTTACTCTTGCAGATGATGTGAGTTCCGTTCCCAACCCCCACATGAGGTGGCTTCACAACCACCTGTAACTCCAGATCCAGGGGGATCCAGTACTCACTTTTGGCCTCCAAGGGCACCCACACTCATGTGTACATACTCCTACCCCATATACATACATAATTTAAAAATAAACTAAATCTTAAGAGGGGAAAGCTAACACAACAAATATATGCTGTAGGTTTTGCTTTGTACCAGTCACTGTTCTAGGCCCAAGACCAAGTGCCGTGGCCTGGGTTCCATACTATAGCTTTGTGTCTGTGTTGATGGTCATGGCGTGTGTGCTAAATTGCAGCTATGTAGGGGAGGCAAGCATGGACCTGAGATGCAGGAAGGCCCACTAACCTGCCAGGCCAGAAAAGTGAGGAGCAAGGACAGCTTGGTTAATGTTGTACCTCTTCTACCCAGTGCATGCGAAGCAGATTCATAAAAGTAACCGGACGAGAGGCTGAAAAGCCAGATCGGTTGTTAGAGCACTTGCTGCTCTTGCGGAGGACTCTCTTCTCAGTATTCATATTGGGTAGCTTACAACTACCTGTAACTCCAGGTCCAGGTGACCCTACTTTTGGCCTCTACAGATACACACACGCACTCAATTCCAGAATAATTGGATGGACTTATCAATTTGCTGTAGGTCATATGGGCTATAGGGCACAGCGGATCTGACTTCCTCTTCCCTGCCTCTCCCCAGTCATTCCTCTTCCAGCTGCTGAAAGGCCTGGGATTCTGTCACAGCCGCAACGTGCTGCATAGGGACCTGAAGCCCCAGAACCTGCTCATAAACAGGGTATTGCTCTGGGAACAGGGAGTGAGTTTACACAAACCGGAGCCAGGGATGGGGAGAAGGAAGCTGGAGCCTGCCCTAAACCATTTAAAAGTCTTCTCCATGTCCCCCTTGTGTTATCTCCCCTTAGAATGGGGAGTTGAAATTGGCTGATTTTGGCCTGGCTCGAGCCTTTGGTATCCCAGTCCGCTGCTACTCTGCTGAGGTGAGCCTGGGAAGTGGTCTGTGAGGTTGAAGGGAAGGAGTCCCCCAGTGGTTTCTCTATACCACGTTGTTTCCTCTGCTCTCTGAGCCCCTCCTGGACCTCCCTCCAGCACTCTAAGTGGGAGGGGGCTCCCTGTGGGTGGGGTCTTCTCCAGGTGGTCACGCTGTGGTACCGCCCACCGGATGTCCTCTTTGGGGCCAAGCTGTACTCCACGTCCATCGACATGTGGTCAGCCGGCTGCATCTTTGCAGGTGACACATTGGGGTTCTGCAGAAGCACTTGCTTTCCCAGCTGGGTTAACAAATAGGGTCTGGAGGATCTTTTGTGAGGGAGGGGAGAGGGGCTCTTGGGGCTGGGACTGGAAGGCACAGGGGCACTGCAGAATGATGGATCCTTCATGTGCTCTATTTTATCCCTGTCTCTTTCTCAGAGCTGGCTAATGCGGGGCGGCCTCTCTTCCCTGGCAATGATGTGGATGACCAGCTGAAGAGGATCTTTCGATATCCTTCCAGTGCCCTTAGCCCACTCTCCTTCACCTCTTTGTAGAAAGGGAGTGAGCATGGAGCTCCGAGCAGGGGTCAGAGGTCACCATTGCTTACCTCCACAGTGTCCTTGCATGGGGTCACACTGTGGAGAGATGTAGCCTGTTGGACACCTGATGAGGCAGTTGAAAGTTGCTCCAGTAAGCCTTAGGATAAAGGAGTAGGGGTTCTTGGAGGAAAATGACTGGTTTCTCATTTTTAGGACCACAAGCATCAGGGGTTGATTTTCCTGGTCCACTGTAAACACCATAAAATGGGGTTCATCTCAGGCTAGATTCAGACATAGAGCAAGATGGTATGAGAGAAGAGGAGGTGAGAGTAAGGAATCCTCCCCCTCTCCCCTGAGGTGTAGGTGTAACCCTCCTCACAAGTGACCCTTGACCACATGGACACACTGCTAGGGACACCGACTGAAGAACAATGGCCTGCCATGACCAAGCTGCCAGACTATAAGGTGTGACTAGCTATGGGAGGTCTTAGTTCATTAGAGGACCCTTTTATTTTCCAACTCTTATGCTCCATACCTCTGGCCTGACTCTGCCTGGCCCTCCTCTGCAGCCCTACCCAATGTACCCAGCTACAACATCCTTGGTAAACGTCGTACCCAAGCTCAATGCCACAGGGAGAGACCTGTTGCAGGTAGGCACCTAGGGGTAGATGCAGATGGGGGCATTTGCCTGCCCAGGGTTAGAAACTGGGGACTGTGGTGCTTGTCCAGAGGGACAAAAAGATGGTGGCTGTCCTGGTCTGAGCGCGCTTCTGCCTTTCTTCCCACCTGCAGAACCTATTGAAGTGTAACCCTGTGCAGCGCATCTCAGCAGAGGAGGCCTTGCAGCACCCCTACTTCTCTGACTTCTGTCCCCCGTAGGCTCTCTGACCCCACCCTCACAGGAGGGTGGAGAAGTGGGGTGTGGGAAGCCGAGCCCCAGCTGTGCTGGGCCCAGCCAGGGTAGAGTTGCCCTGGCCCGCAGTTTTCACTCCCTCCATGGACTTTATTTAATTTCATAAATTGGCTCCTTTCCCACAGTCTGCTGATATGGTGGCGGGGTGGCTCTGAAGGGTGGCTGGTGACCCCTGTCCTGACCTACTACCCTCTGTGACCCTGCCTACAGCTTGTGCAATGAGCTGCTCACTGTCTGCTCTGCCTCTTTACATGTCCTGAGACCGAGAACAGGAAGCCATGATCCCCATCCTTTTGATTGTATCATGGCAGCGCTGTCTCCACATGCAGGCTTATATCCTCCTGCACACTTTTCTCTTCTGCCTAGAAGGGCCAGATACAGCTCTGAGGTAGGATGCTGCTGGCCTGAGTGCAAAAGTTGAGCCTCCTCCAGAATGGGGAGAATGGGCCAGGCCTCTCTATGGGTGTTTCCACATTCTAGATAGAGCCTTCCTTCTCTGTTTTCACACTCAGAGTTGTAGGCTGGGGCAGGAAGGACCCAGAACTGTGTGGGTCTCTGTCATGAGAACAGTCCTTCCCTGTTCCTGTTTGCCAGTCTCCCAGTGGTTGGGATACAGTAAAAGAAGGAAACGAGCTGAGGCAGAGGTCCAGTGTGCCCTCTTGGCAGGAAGGAAAAGGCAGGGCTCTTTCAGTCCCGCTGTCTCAGGTAGGCTGTCAGCTTCTGTGGAGTGGTTGGAAAGGCAAAAACTTTCCCACAGCATGACCTTCGGAAGCAGGACACCAACCTGTGTTCTTGCACGAGGAGTAGATCCTCTAGTGTAAACCTGCCACTCCCACCTTCTCACTGAACTAGTTAGAACCTCGTTCTGGCTATACTCTTGGTACAGCGAATACCTACTGACCATGCCCACTGTGGGCCATCACATCTGGGCATGCGAAGCCTGCCTTTTTAGCTGTTGATAGAAGGTAGGCCTGGTGGTACAGGCCTGTATTCCAAGCTACCAATAAGCCTGAGGCAGGAGAGCTGCAAGGCCAGTGTGGGCAGCAGAGTGCAAAGTCAATCTGGACAATTTAATGAGACTCTGTTTCTAAATAAACAAGATACAAAAAGGGCTTGGAAGCCAAACATGGGTGGTATATGCCTACCATCTCAACATTTGATAGGTGTGGGCAGAAAGATTAGGATCAAGATCATCAGTGGGTGCACAGTTCACCCGCAGCCTGAAGTGTGTGAGACCCTGCCTCTGAAGAACAAAAGTGATGGGGATGCACTTCTGCAGGAGAACACTGCATAGCAGGCGTCCTCCAGACCCCGATCTCAGTCCCCATTACTCAAAAAAAAAAAAAAATTAAAATGGATTTGATAAGCTCATTAACACTAAGGTGCAATTGATTGGTCTCTTAAGATTACCCTCCCCCCCAGAGAGTTGTAAAGCCTAACTTGGACCCAGGTCCCAGCTGGACAGTGGACGGAAATGGGGAGGCTGGCACCGACTCTGCTAGAGTCTGATCTGTAAGGCAACCCTTGAGGCACATGCACTAGAGCTTTATTAGCCTGAAGACGGCAAAGATGTACAGGCTGGACATGTCCAGGATGTCACGCTGCAGCCAGGTGCTCACAGCCGGTCTAGAGCCTTGTGACAAGGTAACAGGTGCGGTGGGAGGCAGAGAGTGTCTTGGTGACAGCACACGGAGGGGTAGGAGGCCTGGTGGGACAAACCACAGCACTGAGCGGGACCCCTCCACCTATTTCACCCTAGACCTGAGTTTCTTCCTCTTGACCTGTCCTGTCCCTTGACCTTATGGGGTATGTCTTATATTACCTGGGGCCCAGGCTGAGGTGGGGAGCATGTGTTCGATGGCCATTCAACCCTTCCTGAAGCTGTAGGAAAAGGGAGAGTCAGGTGGAGACCAGCCAAGATGGCTGCACATGATAGCTCCTGGACCAAATATTTAAGGTCTGGGGTGAGGCCTATGATGCTAGGGGGTGGGGGAGGGGAGAGGACTGTTACCAGGGTACTGCGAGAGCGCCTTTGAGAGCTCCTTCTGTTCCAGAAATACCCCAAGACTCTGTCTTGGAAAACCTGGGGGCAAGCGACAGGAATAGGTGGCCAACATACACCTCCCTGGACACTTGAGGCCTGATTCCTCCCCATCATGTCTGGGGTTCTGTCCCACCTCACAGAGGTAGTCGAGGATCTCGAGGATGGTAAGCAGGCTGGCTCCAATAAACAGTCCCATCTGTCCCCCAATGTCTCCTGTGGAGGCAGACTGCTGTCAGCTCACAGTCACCTGCCCGATCCACACTTCTGCAGACCCAGGTACTCCATACACACCCAGCAGCTCTGACACCTCATAGGCCGCCTTCTGCTCCACCGCCTCATAGTTGAGGGCCTCAAAGAAGATGTCCAGAACCAGTACGTTCTCCCTGGAGGAAAAGAAGCCTGAATTGTTTGCTTACGTCACCTGGTGCCAGGTAGAAGTAGGTGTGGATGCACTGGCCAGTTTGGAGAACCTGGGGTTTTTCTCATCCCCCAAGTCAGAAAGTTTAAGTAGTTTGCCCAAAGTCCCAGAACCCGTTATGATGTGGAGATGAATCCAGCCTGGGCTGTGTGCAGAAGGGCTCTGGTCCTGTTCCCTGCTAGGAACCCCTCGACTCAGGCACTGTGCCTCCAGCTTTGCTACCAGCCCTTGCTCACGCGATGTAGGTCTCGCTGCGGTTGTATTTCTGGGCCAGGTAGCGAGCTGAAGCTCGGCTGGGAATCCGCACCATGGAGAGCTCCTTGGCGTAGCGCGTAGTGGCGCACGGGCTGGGACAGATACACGTGTCCTTTCGCAACATGGCGTCTGCAGGCAGGCCCGAAAGCAAGGATCAGGACCACTCAGCAAGAGGGTTGAGGTCAACAGCCGAGTGGATGGGGACGGGACAGGGAGGCTGAAGAGTTGTGCCCTTACCCAGAGCTGGGCTGGCACAGTCCTTGTACTGCTGGGGGCTGCACACTGGTGAGTTTCCTAGGATAGGGCGATGAGAACGGAGCCCAAGAGCGCCCCCTAGGGTACCCCCATTCCCTACTCCCAACAGACCCCAGCTTCTTACCAGGCATATGCATCATTCGACATCCACACTTCCGAGCCACATAGCGGGTCTCACAGGCCAGGCGACACCCTATTAAACTATAAGGAGGGCTGGGGCTGGAGTTAGGGGAACCCAGGGAATCAGAGGGCTCTGGATCAAAGTCAGGGTCCACAGATGCAGTATTGCAGTCACCCCAGGGTGGTGGCAGGAAGCTCAGCTGTGGAGGGACAAGGTTAAGGAGGCTGCATTAATAGAAGTTTGTGGGGTGAGGGCCCCAGAAACAAGCCGAGGCATTGTGGCTTGGGGTCTGAGGGTCTTCTGAGGTGGGTAGGAGTTTGGGGCAGGTGGGAACCAACATACTTGCTGCTGCTGGCAGGATACAAAAGTCTGGTGGCCTGGGGCTGCCCCGAAGCCCAGCTGGTCAATGGCAGGGGGCTCCTCCTGGCTGTGGATCTGCACTCGGATCCCCACCTCAAACGGGGTCTCTTCTGCAGGGAGGGGCCTTTAAGGCCCCAGACACTCCACTCCCAGGAGAGAATCCCTTGGCTGTTCCTCTCCTCAGGATTTGGAAAAGCCAGCCCTGTCTTTTCTCACAAGATGCACTTTGAAACTCCTCCCTGCACACCTGCCTCCTCTCCTTCCCATGGTCTCTGTGATTTCCCAGCCTCATGCATGCCTCCCCCCTCACCCCTCCTCACAGGCAAATGACCCTGTGCCCCTCACCCATGTCCTTCCAGATGGGCAGGTACTCCTCCTGCTGTACATCCAACATAATCTCCAGCCCGTTGCCAGCACCACCTTTTGGGGTGGTGAGCAGCTCTGCCCCGTGAGCACCGGAGTTGAAGGTGTAGCACTGCCCCATGCGAGTGAAGATCTGGGACAGAAAGGAATAGCCCCTCTCTTAAGCAAGCCCTTGGGCATGGGAGTACTCCCCTCCTTGACCCCTTCTCTTTGTTTTTGTCATTTGGGGCTTTTTTTCTTTTGGGGTGGTGGGGCATGCAGCCTGGGCTTGTCTGGTGCTTGCTATATAGCCGAGATGCCCTCCAGTTTCTGGTTCTCCTGCCTCCATACCAAGTGCTGGGATTATAGGTATGAATTGCTATACAAATCCTTGGATCTTACCCCCCTCAATGTGTTGTGTTGCTTAAATACTTGGTGGGGCAGGGGATGACTGGACCTAGGTTACTAAATCTAGGTGATCTAGCTGAATTTCCACCCTGCCCTAAGACTCTTTCTTTCTTTTTTGATACACTTTCTCTCTACTGTGCCGATGAGGCTCCCTGTAACTCACAGGGCTCCTCCTGCCTCTGCTTCCCAGGCTTTGGGATTAAAGGTGTGCCCTACTGTGCTTGTTTTATGCTGTGGACATTTTGATACCAAGTCTCATGCAGTCTCCCACTCTCCTTGAAAGAACTCTGAAGCCCACATCTCAGTGCCCTCATATATAGCCTCATATATAGATATGTGGAGTGGGGAGACTTCCCTACTCACTCCAGCTCCTCTGCCTCTCACCAAAGTCCTGGGTGCAGCTGATAGGAGTAATTGGAATAAAAGGCAATGGATCTATTATTGTCCTCCTTTGGGGTGACAAAATTTGGATGAGACAGAAGAAAGTCCTCTCCTAGCAGAGAGGGGTCTTCTGCCCCAGAATAGGCCCAGGGTATTGAATTTTACCCTAGGAGTAGTATCTCTACCAGCTGGCCCTTGGCCCTGCAGCCTGCTTGAGTCAGTGTCCTTGCCGAGAGGCATAGCCAGGTGCACAAATGTCTAATTGTGAGCTGGAGAGAACCCCCAGAAGCCACTTCCTAGACTAGACAGAATGGCTTGGTGAGTGGAGAGCCTGTGGCTGGCAGGCAGGAAGGAATACCCAGGGGTATTAAAGTTCCCTGTTTTGGGGGAATCTTGGGCTAACAAGGCCGAGGATTTTAGACATGGTCTCAGGGCATTTGGCTCACCACTGTGAAGTTCTCAGGCCCACAGGGCTGGCCACGGTAGCGGCAATCCAGTAGCATGTCCTCAAGGGAGTGGCCGGCTCTGGCGTAGAGTTGT